AGGATAAGCACAGAAGAAGCCATCAGAAAGGGGTTCATCGATGGCCGAGCAGCTCAGAGGCTGCAAGACACCAGCAGCTATGCCAAAATCCTGACCTGCCCCAAAACCAAATTGAAAATATCCTACAAGGATGCCATAAATCGCTCCATGGTGGAAGACATCACTGGCCTCCGCCTTCTGGAGGCCGCCTCTGTTTCATCCAAGGGCTTGCCTAGCCCTTATAACGTGTCTTCTGCCCCAGGCTCCCGCTCCGGCTCCCGCTCTGGATCTCGCTCCGGCTCTCGCTCTGGTTCCCGAAGTGGGTCCCGGAGAGGAAGCTTTGATGCAACAGGGAATTCTTCCTACTCTTATTCCTACTCCTTTAGCAGTAGCTCTATTGGGCACTAGTAGTCAGTTGGTAATGGTTGCTATACCTCGGTTTCATTTATATGAATTTTCACTTTATTAAATAATAAGAGAAAACCTAGTGCTTGCAACATAGTGATAGAAGTTTCTCTGCTTAAGAAAGCATAGTCATGGTTGAAATCAAATAGTAGGTGCTGTTCTGGCTTTTTATCTTCTTAGCTCACCATAGGAATACACTGGATGTAGTGTGTATGAAGTGATAATCAGTTGTAAGGATAGCACAAATTGAATTTAGAATTTGTTTCTTCTCTTCTGTGTTTAGGTTTTAGATTCTTGAACATCTTTTGGCATATAATACATATTCATATTCTTTGGACATAAAAATTAAATTGATCATTGGTGTTTTAATCATCATTTCTGTTTCTCATCTAAATATTTCCATTTTGTGTATTAGGATAAAATTACCCACCCCAAACCCAAGCATTTTGGAATGAGTCTCCTTTAGTTTTAGATTGTGGATTGTATAACCCATATACTCCTAAATGTGCCTATTTGGTTTGGTATTAATTTGACTGTATTTGCATAATAGTAGCAATCTTTGCTTTTCTTTGGTCAAAGTTTTCTGTGTATTTTGCTTGTCATTTTCTGTGTACTTGAAAAAGGTGTCTTTATGAAGTTTGGCAATAAACTTTTAGAGTTTTGAAGTTTTTGTGTTTTTATTTAATACTGTTTATACACAAGGGCATTTAGCAGCATATTTTTGTTTATTGTAAAATATGTCTTAAAACCATCTGTTTGCTAAATACCTATTAAGAAAGACCATTAGGGGCTGGCCTGGTGGTGCCGCGGTTAAGTGCACACGTTCCACTTCGGTGGCCCGGGTTTCACTGGTTCGGATCCCAGGTGCGGACATGGCACCACTTGGCAAGCCATGCTGTGGTAGGCGTCCCACATCTAAAGTAGAGGAAGATGGGCGCGGATGTTAGCTCAGGGCCAGTCTTCCTCAGCAAAAAGAGGAGGATTGGCAGCAGTTAGCTCAGGGCTAATCTTCCTAAAAAAAACAAACACCAACTATTTTAGTTCTGAATTCTTGTTAGAAATTTGATCTTTTGGGGTAAGTTTCTCAACGTTTCTGGACCAGGTAGAGTCCTTGGAAAGAAGCTTGTATAAAGAGGCCAGGCCAAAGATCAGTACTGTTCTAGTTTATTCTGGACAGTGAGTACCAAGTAGCATGGGCAAAAGTCACCATCATACCATTTAAAAAACATGAAATGGCTAAGATTCTGTTTTGGGTATCTTCAAAACACATGTTTCATTTTGTTCCCTAAGAGGAAAGAATTGTCCTTGAATCTATGAAAATGATTCCTGAAGAGTTCTTAGCTCTATTGAAGGATGATGAGATATAAGCTTATTCTTTGGATCAAAGAGAAACTTTTGAAATTCAGACATTTGTCATTAAATTAACATGAATTTCCTGAATACTGATTATGTCTAGTATTAGGCTGGGTACTGTGAGGATTCAGTCGAATTTAAAAGCCCCCTTGACTTAAAGGCATTTGCAATCTGGATGGGTGCAGAAGACACACACGAAGCAACCAGTGGGACAACTTTCATATATCAGCAGTATATATTGATACAATCAAACAAATAGTACAGATAGAAAGTAGGAAAACAAATGAAATGCTACTTGTGTAGACCAAAAAAGATCACACTTAAATTATTGGGAGCTTTTGGTACTTAGGGTGAAAACAGCACCCATTTCTTTCCTATCTCACCTCTTCCTCTTCTTCCCTTCCTGATCTGGAGGACTTGTAATTAATTTCATTCACTAAATATTGAGTTCTTTCATGCGCCATGCATTGTGCCAGCAGCTGTGGATCCCGTGGTAGAAAGAGATGGTAGAAAAATAGCCCTTGTAATAGGAAGAAAAAAAAATGTGGTAAATAGTGAGTTGGGAAGTATGAAGGAGGATCCTCATGCTAGAGCTGGGAGGTTGTATCAGTCAGCTTGGGCTGCCATAACAAGTACCACAGGCTGGGGGCTTAAACAAGTTGATCTGCTCAGAGTTCTGGAGTCTGGAAGTTCAAGATCAAGGGGCCCTCAGGGTTGGTTTAGGGTGAGAGCTCGTCCTGGCTGGTGGTTAGTGAGGGGTGGGGAGTGGCTCCGGTGTCTCCTCTACTTACGAGAAGACTGCCTTTATCGCATCGGGGCCCTATCTCTATGAACTCATTAGACCTTAATGATCTCCCTAAAGGCCCTGTCTCCAAATACAGTCATATTGGGGGTTAGGGCTTCAACAGAGGAATTTTTTTTGGGGGGGGACACAGTTCAGCCCATAAGAGAGGCCTAAGCTAGAACAGGGGGAGGAGACCCTTAGGGTCTCCTGATGATGATTAAACTGAGATGAACAAGCATCGATGTAAAGGAGTTCCTCAGGTTGAAACTACACCCCATCAGAACTGCTGCTGAAGTTGTCATTGAACTCTGAGATGAGATAGGGCTGAGTCCTAGAGAGAGGACATACTTGACCTGGGACCTACGTGACCTGGGCTAAGTTTTGATTTGGTTCACGTCTATGGTGCATCCACAGAAAAGGAAATACATATATAACTTTTCAATGACAGTCATCACTTCACATCCAAAAGTAGTCTCACTTTTTCCTGGATGCTTGGCTTACTATGTAAATGCAAATAAAAAGTAAGGATGCTGTGGGCAGAGTAAGAACTGCTTCTTACCATACATCCAGTTGCAGCTACTGGCCTATTTTTGTACTTTATGGTACTACCTTATTCTCTTATTATCACCCTCCCCTTTTTTTAAGTGAGAGAACTGTGCTATTGGCCTTTGGAAATAGTTGTTTACAAAAATTTCTGCCATTTCTTCATCTGGTGGAAACAAGTGCAAAGGGAAGCAAACATTTGGCAGCAGGCTTGAAAAAAATAAGAGGAGTTAAGGTCTTGGGTAGGAAATGTACAAAGTAAACTTGGGTTAATCAAAGCAAAGAAGTAGTCAATGAGCCAGCCCTGATGGCCTAGAGTTAAAGTTTGGGGTGTTCTGCTTCAGTGGCCCAGGTTCAGTTCCCAGGCACAGAACCACACCACTTATCTGTCAGTAGCCATGCTGTGGCAGAGGATCTCATAGAAAAACTAGAAGGACTTACAACTAGAATATACAACTATGTACTGGAGCTTTGGGAAGGAAAAAAAAAACCAGATTGGCAACAGATGTTAGCTCAATGTGAATCTTTCCCAGAAAAAAAAAAAGGAAGTACTCAAGGACCAGTGGGGACATGTCAAAGAGACACAAGGTGGTTTAAAGTGGCTACCACTGGTCAAATTTGGGACAATTTGAGCATTAACAAGAACTATGATGGTAATGGAGTATGTAATGAATTTAAAAATCTTAAAACAATAATTTTAAAAAAACACCCTTGATCCCATAGTGAAATAAATAAAATGAAAGTGTGGTAAGAATTCCAGCTAATAAATGTAGAGGCCATGATAGTATTAGAGAATCATCATTTATAACTCCTAATGTAATAACAGATTCACTGAAGGATTGTGTGAGTTTGTTGGGAACAGGACATTCATACGGCCCTAAGGCATCACCCACAGATTATGTACCAGTTACTAGAGGAAAATGTACTATTACAAGGAAGCAGTGCAGCCACCACCTCTACCAATGATCAAATTTAGCATTACTAAATAGAATCTAGGAGAATCTAAGACATGTGTCCTCTATGAGATGTAATAAAGAAGTACACACATCTTGCAAAAATGCTTAAACTGAATCTAGTCATAAGGGGGAAAAATTTGACAAATCCAGAAAGAGGGACATTCTACAAGACAACTTACTGAGGCTCCTGACAAAATTCAATGACTTAACTTAAAAAGGAGAGTGGGGCAGACTGTTATAGATTAAAAGAGACAATAGCCAATTATAGCTCATGGGCTGAAAAAATAATAAAATGGCTATAAAAGGAATTTTGGGGACAACTGGGGAAATTTGATTATGAGCTGTATATTAGATGATACTATGAAATGAACATTCTTAGGGTTGATCATGTATTGTGGTTATGCAGGAAAATGTCCTTATTCTTAGGAGATGCATACGGACATATTTGAGGGTGAAGCATCTGCAATTTACTCTCAAATAATTCAGCAAAAATAAGTGTGAGGCTGTGTGTGGGGAGAAAGTGGGAGAAAGCAAACGTGTCAAATGTTAACAATTAATGAGCTGGACGACGGCTATGCGAATGCTCACTGTACTAGTCCTTAAACTTCTCAGTACACATAAACCATTTTTCGTAAACCATTGTAGTAAATTTGGATTTTCTAAAAAGTCCGGTGGGGGAGAGTAATGCTGTTCAGGTAAGGCCAGGGACAACTGCGTCCAAAAGCAGCGGCAAACGCAGAGAGGAGCCGGAAAACACCTCTCAAAACGACAGCCCCCGCCCTTCCCGGGACACCTCCCTATAGGCGGTTCCAGTCACGGGACAACGAGGCCCCGCCCACAGCCCCCAGAGGCCCGCGCGCGCCGCCGGCAGTTTCGCTGCTTCCTGCTGGCGGGAGGGGCGCCGCCATGGAGGTTGAGCCTCCTCCGGTGGAGGAGCGGCGGCGGCTGCAGGAGGAGCTGAGCGAGTTCGTGGAGAGCTGCTGCCGGACGCTGGAGGAGGTGACGGCGTCCCTGGGCTGGAGCCTCGATCGCCTGGACCCCGGGGAGGCGGAGGCGGCAGAGGTGAGGGGCGGGCGCGCGGGGGCCTTTGAGGCGCTCAGCCTGCGGTCTTCTCTGGCCGCGGGGATCGGCGCGGCGGGCGGCGCGTCTGCGGGGCCATGGGGTGCCCGGGCCCCGGCGTGGAGCACCCTGCTGCCTCCGGGCCCCGCGCTGGGGCGCCCCGCGCCTGGCTCCTGGACCGGCAGCGCCCCCTCCGCGGAGCCTCGGGCGTAAGGAAAACGAGACGGTGCGGTGGGCGGGAGAGCGCGGCGGGTGTGGTGCTCCTTTAGGAAGTGGGTGAGCGGGTCTCGGGGCTGCCGGCGGAGGCGGAGGCGGTGGCGGTTTGCTTTGTCATCCGTCATATGGATCCCGCAGCTGCAGCCGACTCGGCGTCAGGGGAGCTTGGAGGTTCAGTTCACCTTCCTCTGCCACAGAATTGCCCACTTCTGCCTGGGACAGCACGCATTCCAGGATTGTTAAAGGACATCAGTAAGTGATGGTGACTGGCAACTCTCCTGGACATTAGAGTTGCTTTTAAAAATGTAGGCAAGTGTAATAGAGTGAACAGTCCTGACTTTCTTTTTTTAATGGGATGGGTGGAAGGGAAGTGCTCCAACGTGGGATAATTCATGGTCTCTAATATTCTTTCTGGGTTTGTCATGCTGTAATAATTTAACTCAGGTTTAAATTACGTGACTGATTCCCCAGAGGCATTGGAAGTATATTTATATACAATATATATTATATATTTATATACAAACGGTTTGGATTTATTATATTAAAAGCGTAGTGGAAATTTTAAAAATATATTTATTATTCGTTTGGAGGGAATTCATTGAGTGAGGCCCGCCAGACCTTTCCATATCATTGTTTGCTCCGCATTGTAGTAAATTTGGATTTCTTATATTAACACTTAAATAGCACGTTGCCTGTGTATGTCACTTACTGTATGTTAGTTACCTCATTTAATACTCATAATTACCCTATGAGCTGGGTACTCTTAGCCACATTTTATGGATGTGAGGAAACACACCTAGAGAGATGTAGTTTGTCCACTGACACACTGTTGGTAAATAGCAGTTAGAGTTTTGAACTCAGGCCTTCTGGCTCTTGAGAGTCTGTGTGCTTAATTGCTATGCTGCCTTTGTAGAACTCGTTTGTAAAATTCCAAAATTCTGACAGTCAGCTGTGAGTGTACGTCTAACTTTTGCAAAACCAGCATCTGATATTCAAGAAGGTGGCTGGTTTAAAAATCCTGGTAATTGACATCCGTAATTCCCAGAATAGATGCAGTCCAGATGGTTAAGGAATCTTCGCTTTTCTGCTGGAGTGTTTTAATGCTGAAGTTTAGTGAACAAAATCACGGTTCTTGTCCTTATAGAGCTTACTGTCTGGTGAGGGGGAATTCAGAGAAATCAGCCATTACATTACAATGTGATAAAGTCTATGAAGGGTGGGTTGGAATTGGTGTGGTACAGGTTATTGTAGGCTGTGGTGGGACGGCAAAGACTTGCAGGATAAAGTGAATTCTAAGCTGATAAATAAAAGTGAGCTAAATTAGCTAGGTGAAGCCAGAGGAAGCAGCAACAGCATGTGTAGAAGTCCAGAGACCAGGGTGTGTCCCGAAAACCTCAGGTAGTTAAGGATGGCTAGAGCATAGGATGTGGAGGAGGAGGGGAAGGATGGTAGGTATGCACTGGATGTTAAAGGTCCTGTGTCAGCCATATTAAAGAATCTGGATTTTTTTTTAATGAGGGCAGTGGGGGAGGCATGGAAGTGTTTTGAGCCAGGGTATATCATAATCATATTTGCCTTTTAATAAAATAATAATTGCTTACATTTTTTGAACACTTGCTATATCTCAGGCCCTGTTTGAATTGCTTTATGTATATGAACTCATGTATAACTTGGATAATCTTCACAGTAGTTCTGTAAGAGAGGTCCTGCTATGATACCATTTTATAGATGAGGAAACTGAGGCAGAGAAAGGTTAAGTCCCTAGGCTAAGTTCATACAGTCAGTGAGTGGCACACCTGGGATTCAAACTGTCTGCAGTTTGGAGAATGGAATGGATAGCGAGACTGGAAGTGGCGAGAGCAGTTAAGCAATGGCTGTTGTGATCCAGGAGAGAGATGATGATATCCTGAAGTGGGGAAGTGGCAGTGGGGATGGATTGTGTGGAGGGATTTTAGAGTGATTGATCAGATGTGGATGACGAGAGAGAAGAGGCTGTTTCCTGCTTAACAAGTGGGACCTTCCTTTCACTGAAGTAGGAAAACATGAGAGGAACAGGTTGGGGGGGTCAGGAGACCATGAATATAATAAATTTATTTTTGTCATGTTGAAATTTTAGTGTCTTTAGTATAGGGTACTCAAGAGAGAACCAAGGAGTAAAGATCCACATTTTGGGAGTCATCAGTATCTAGTGAAAATTGAAGACGTGGGATCTTCCAGGAAGCCTATATCAAATGGCACAAGATCACTGGTTGGACCTACATGAACACCAACCTTTAAATGGGGCCAGGTAGAACAAGGAAGACAGACCTTTAGAGGAGACCAAGTAGGAGGAGCCAGAGAGGTGGAAGGAACGTGAAGAGTGTATCAGGATGACAGAAGTGAACAATTCACTTGTGACCTTCTGTGAGTTCAAATATTATAAGGACTGTGACGTGCCTTGGCTGTGGTAGCAAGAAGGTTGTTAGTAACCTACTGACGGGGAGGGGAGGTTGTCGAGGCAGTGAATGTGAACCTTTCAAAGAATGGGGCTTTGAAGGGGTGGAGACTGGGCAGAGGCTATCGGGGAGGGAGATTGGGGGAGGTTTTTTTTTTAACATGCACGTACACTCACACACACAGTTGCGAGAGGCCTGCATAAGAGGAGAGAACTGGATAATGCCACTTAATTAAGTAGTAAACATTTAATGGTATAATCATTTCTTTAAATGTCATGAACCTTTCTTCTTCTGTTTGATTTTTGTAGGATGAAGTTGTGATATGCCCTTATGACTCCAATCATCACATGCCTAAATCGTCTTTAGCAAAGCACATGGTGTCTTGTCAGCTGAGGAAACTGGGCTACACCAAAGAGGAAGAGGTACCACATAGATTCTCTGTACACGTCATATGTGCATGAATAAAGTTCAGAATATTTGGAAGGAATAGTGTTAGGTTTTCGGACATAAAGTAATAGTCGTTTATGGGGTAGAATGGTACTTGCCTAATTTCACAAATTATTGCAAGAAATATTTAAATGATACTAATTTATTGTTGGTTTATGTCAAATCTCAAAATAGTCAATTATCTGTTACTCAAGAACACTAAGGTTTTTTTTTTTTTGACTTTAGGATAAAATGTATAATTCTGATTTTTTCTATGAGAATGTGAAGATACCTTCAATTACTTTGAGTAAGTATTAATTTAAGATATTATAATTTAAAAATATCTTAGGATAGGTGTTGATATTTCATTTTTGAATTATCAAAAGAGTGGACTTTATAAGTATGCTTGTGATTAAGAAGGACATTTTGTACCTTAAAAGAATGTAGGATTAATTAATGTACAGTGAAATTGGTTTTTATTCTAAACTTCGAGACCAGGTCTGTATCAATAGGCGGTGAAAACTGCGGAGTTCTGCACAGTAAGACAGATGCCTTCCTTCTTGGTTGTGACAAAAATCTGGCCACACAACACAGTTTGAAGAGAGGGCTGAGGATGGAAATGTGTTCCAAGTGTTCACAGCTTACGTAGAGGTTAAAATCTTGGGCTCTGAAATCAGAATGCCCTGATTCAACTCCTGGTTTTGTCACTAATAGATGTGTGACTTTCAACAAGGTCATTAACCTGTTTGTTGCCTAAATTTCTCCATAAAATGGGGATGATGGTAATAGTACCTTTGTGAGGATTAAATGGTATATATGTAATATGCTTAGCATAGTGCCTGACACCTAGCTGGCATTCAAGAAGTGTTAGCTATTATTGGTCGCTAAAATTTGTGGAGGCTACTGCTGCATGCCTGATTATAGTGAAGTCTGGTTACTTACTGGGCTCTAGCTAGATCTGAAAGAATTCTGCATTCAGATTACCTAGGCAATGATGTGGGTGTTTTCTCTCTTAAGATTCTGGAAGGTTTGTCAATGTGCCCAAAGAGCTTGGAGTGGAAACCAGTTAATAAATTAATTGTGGACACTGATGATTCATATTGTGGTTATGGGTTTTTTTTTTTGGACAGATAAGGACTCACAATTCCAGATAATTAAACAAGCTAGAACTGCAGTTGGAAAAGATGGTGATTGTTATAATCAAAGTAAGTGGCATCATAGTTTGAGCTAATTAATGAATCAAACTATTTTTCTCCCACAAGCACATTGTTACAAATTTTCAGGAAAAATCTCGTGGAAACAGTGGTAAGGTTAAATTTTACATTTAACATTAGACTAATGTTCTTGGTGTCAGCTTCGTTTGTGCGATATTTTCTGCTCAAATGCACCAGAGTCTCACTGGGACACTGTTTTAGGTAGGGGTTCGTGCTTTGGAATTACCTAATGGGTGAGATTGCCATATAGATAGTTATTTTTATTATGATTATTTAATAAATAAATCTCATTGACTGAGACTGTCTTACCCTGAGATTTCCTGCCTTGAGAATTAGCCCAGTGTTAAAGGTAAGAATGTTGAAATGCAGTGTGAAAGGAAAGGCTTAGGTGAAAAGAGATGAGTCTGCACAGCTGCCCTGCAGAATAAAGCACAGACAGAGTTGTACATACAATTTCAGAGGCTTTGTGGATCCCTACATGCCCAGCTTCGGAGCTGGATTTAGAGTTTCTGCCTGGGACTGACCAGCAAAGACTAGGATAGAATTTTTAAGTATGAGTTTTTAGAAAATTGAAACATAATCCATCAAACTCATAGAGGTAAACAAGTAACTAGAGTTAATGGACTTCTGAACCTAAGTATACCATCTAATCAAGGCATGACTGCCTCCTTTTATAAGGATTTCTGAGCTGTCCTTGAACCTTCTGGAGATAGTTTTCTCTGGACATCTTACTTTTCCTCCCTCACTCTTCTTTCTAGCTGAATTATATTCTCCACCACCCCGTTATGATTTGTTGTCTCCCTTGTTGAAGTTCAGGGTCTCACCCGTTGTTCTAAGCCAGTGTCTGGGCTTGATTCCTCCCCCAGTGGCTCTGTGGCTTCAGGAGGAGGACGTCTCTTACCCTGAGTCTATATTACAGTGGCTCCTTACAGCAGCAACAAGCACATTTCTTGTATGTCCTGTTTTGAAGCTCCCATTTTTGTGTACTTTTGTGTTAAATTCCAGGTTTTTTCTTTGAGGGACACATTTGACTCCTGTCTCATTTGAAGAAATGACTGAGCTGTGATCAAGCAAGCCTGTTTTTGGCTCTGTTATTGGTTCTAACCATTGCCGTGTTTAATGAACCAGTTAAAAAGTAGAGAACTTTGTTTTTGTTTTTTTGGAGAGATTAAAAGTTAAAGGACTTTATTTGACCAAAGCCAGTTAGATAGATTTACTGAATTTATTTTAGAGTTGAAAGAGGACTTAGAGATCATCTAATCCAGCGTCTGCTTTTTACAGATAGGGAAACAAACCCTGTCTGATAGAGATGATAAGGTTCTGGGGTGTTTGTTCTAAAGGTTCTCAATCCTTTTATATTTTAAATGAGATTATTTTTTCAGAGTTGTTTTGTATATTTCATTTCGCTTTCACAGCAGACTTTCGATAGTTTGGGCAAGTATTTCCCCCTCCATATTAGGTGAAAAAATAGAGGTGTATAGAAGTGAATTAACACTTTTTTTGTTAGATAATAGGAAAGCTGGATTGAGAACTAGGTTCTGAATTTTGGCACCAACTCTGAGCTGAGTTATTCTGCTTTCTCTTAGAAACTCTACATTTAGTGAAATTTGTGGACTGAGATTCTAGATATTGCTGAAATGTATTCGTTCTTTATGTTTATCTGTCGTGATTAAGTAGAATATCAGAAACTTCAAATCTGTGCATACTCACTGCTGCTATTGGTACTGTTCATTGTTTGTTCTACTTTGTGTAAACCTATTTTAAAGAAAGAAACTATCTGCTCGGCCTTGAACAAATGACTTTTCTGAAATTTTGTTTCCTTATCTGTAATAAAAACTATCTTGTGGTGGTGGTTAGAACAATAGAGATAATGAATGCTACACTAGCCCTGACTCTAATAATTGGTAGCTGCTATTGTCTAAGCAGTTTAATTTCTAAGCAAATTAATTTATAGAAAGCAATATTAAGATAAAATGGGTGAGAATTTTATATATGTAAGTAATTTAGAAAACATTCTAAGTTTTTCATTTATATAACTGAGTTAAGGCAAATTTGGACTTTGAATTTAATTCTTCACAAAAGCAAAGAATTGCTTTGAATAATTCTTTCAATAGATAGTTAAGACAAACTTTTAGTTGATTTTGAATTTTTGCACTATCTTAAGATTTAATTGTAACTTTTTATATGATCTGTAACCCTCTTTTAAAAATTCTTTTCATCCTTTGTAGAGTTCTGCAGTTTCTCAACAGAGGTTATTTTTTTATGGTCAATTTATATCTTAGACATTTTAAAATCTTTTACACCAGGAGAAAAATCTCTTAGTGTCGTCTTATTGATGTATTTACTTTAAAGGAAGAATGACTAACATGAACAATTTTGCATTTTCCTATTTAATTAATATTTTGTTTGTTACGCACTAAATTGTAAGTTTTTTGTTGAGGTAGTATTTATGTTTTCATTTCATTGGTCGTATCAGGTCTAAACTCAACGTACATAATTCTCAATTCATTAATCTTTGTGAAAGCTTGAACAAACATTAGATTTACTTATTTTCAGATATAGTTACTTTGGTTAATTTTATAACTAAGATATTAATTTCAATCATAGACAATCATTTTATATTTAGTGGTTTATCTTTTTCCGTCAATATTAAAGATTCATGTTGCTGTACTTCAATTTCATGGCATATGTTTGAGTTATGGCTATGATTTGAAGTTCAGTGGACTATGCTAAAGAAAGCTAAAGAGATAGGATGTAATGGTTTGGACCTAATCTGTTCCTACCACTGGTGAAACTTTGGCCAGTCATTGTATTTCTATGGGCCTTAATTTCTTTATCTCTAATGTTAGGAAATTGACTATGAATTTTCCCTAAAATTCTGAATTTGTATCTTTGACATACTACCTCTTATCAATACTTGATATTGTATCTCATATGTTTAAGATGCCCCATGATGGCAAAAGTCACTAACAAGGAAGCATGAGAATTAGAGTTATTAAAAAAGTAGGTTAGAGTTTGGCTGTAGGGTGATGGAGAGTTGTGGGGCTGGATAGAAGTAATGGGTGCACAGCAGTGTGAATGTACTAATGCCACTGAACTGTGCGCCTGAAAATGGCTAGAATGCTAAATTTTGTATTAGGTGTATCATACCACAGTTAAACTGTAAAACAAGCTAGACAGAGGGTTACAGAATTAGTATGATGACAACACATTCAGATGTATCTCTAAATCGTATAGAAACTTTCGTTTGAAAATTTAAATTTTATGGAAATGTAAGCATATGTAAGTGTGTATATTCATTTTTTTTGTCAGAAATATCTGTGTTCTGAATGATTTAAATGCAGTTTGTTGTTTAACTTTTCCTGTACTTTTTCTTTTTCAGTAATTGGGGTGAGTATAAAGAGGAATTAGGAACCTGAATGTACTCCTTATTTAAAGATATGCAGTATCCTTTTTGCAAATGATATCCTTTTAAAAGTATCACTCAAATTTTTAAACTTTATCTTAATCACTGTCACAATATTACAGTCTTGATTTGGAATTTTAGTTGAATTTCAAGGAATTTAAGTATAGATCTTCACCATGCAGAAATTTAGGCTGAATAAGGAAATCTCTAAAATATTTTATGGAGGAAATTATATTTCTTTATTAAAAATAACAGGCAAAGGTTTATGTGAAGCTTGTTTGTAATACATCAGTGTTTTCTAATCTTTGTATTCTTCTCCCAGATTTTTATAGCTAGATTTAAATGAATTAGGTTAATCAAAGCTAACTCATTTTTATAGTATGAAATGTTTTGACAAAAAAGACTTTCCCTAGTGTCTACCAGAATTAGAGTAAAATCAAATGACTTGAAAGGGAACCCTTCTTCCTCACTAATTCAGAACCCTTTGACTAGTACAAATGGCCGTGTATTGTTATCCGTAACTGCTAAACCATGGACTGAGATTCAGTGTAGCTCTCCTCTTAATTTGTAGACAAGTGCAAAGTCATCTCTTTTTTTTGTGTTGTAATGCTTGGTTCATAGTATGCTCTTGTTTGAATTTTTCTTTTGCCTCTTTACCTAGGAAGTCAACAAGGTTAGACTGTAGCAAATTTAAGTATCTAGGAAGAGCTACTGATGTTACATTGTTCTGTGAACCGGAGTGATTCCTCTAGGGTAACCTAGCAAACATTACAAGAAGTCCGTTAGGAGCTCATGTTCTTTGTTTGCATTAGTGAATAATGAAATATGGAAAGAGTTGTTTTAAATTGTTTTATTTACAGTTACAGTAATTTTTTTATTTCTTTGAGAAAATTTGAATCTTAAAACAAAAATTTTCTTCAGTGTTTAATACATCATATCAAGGTATTGTATTTACTTTTTTTTTTTCCCATTAAAGAGCAGATTTTAGAAAGTTCTGTAACTGTCGGGGGGCACTGCTTTTAACTTTTTTCAATTAATTTGGTTAAACCAATATGCTTCCTCTTCAGAAAATTTTTAAAAAGTTTAGTCTCAGTTCAGTGTGTCTTTCTCTGGTCTGAGGAAGTGTGGGATTTCTGCTGCTTAATTGTTTTTTGGTCCCTAGCTCTAAGTCAACGCACAAGTGGGATATATTTTGAATATGGAACATTTAGCTTGATGTCTCATATAAAAAAGACATTTTTTGCGCATTTTTCGTACTTCCATAATTTATTTTCAAAGGGACTATATAATGCGTGTTACTTATTAAAAGCATTTTTTCCCTAACTTTTACGGAGAAAAGCATATAAACAGAAAGAAAGTTAATATCTATTTTTATAATATGGGTAGCCTTTTCAAAATTGTTACCCAAAAGGTTTTCTTATGAGCAAATTGTTGTATGGCTATTTACTGCCTGCCTTCATGAGATCTGTCTTAACAGATCTTAACGTTGTTGGAGAGAATAGCGAACATGCACGGTACATCCTTTCTGTGGATAGAGCGTTCAGCGTAGAGCCATTATTTTGCCATTTATTGCGTAGATTGATACTTTGTATATTTAGGGATTACTGTGAAAAAAATTGTGTGAATGTTGGATTCTTACAGTGCATGTTTAAAGATAAGTAGTAGAGTTTAAGTCCACAATGCTTCATGTATTGTTTATTCTTGTGGTTTTATTTTTACTTTAGGGACTTACTCTTCATTGCCTGTTGAAGTTCCTCTGAATCACAAACGATGTGTTTGTGATCTAACCCAAGCCGATCGTCTTGCCCTCTATGATTTTGTAATCGAGGAGACGAAGAAAAAGCGCTCTGATTCTCAAATTATCGAAAATGACAGTGATCTCTTTGTAGACTTGGCTGCCAAAGTCAATCAAGGTTTGAGATGAATACCGTAGCTTTATATTTCTTGTCATTCTGTCTTTTGAGTGTTGTTAAGATCATTTGTTAGGCCACTTTGAGTTGGAATGGGATGATTTCTATCATCTGATAGTCACATATATATTAAGATGTTTACTCAGTACATGAAATTTTGCTCTCTGACTTTTACATTACACATACCTTCCTTCTATAGGAATGTTACTTACAGCTGTGCTATTACTTTAATCTATGTACCTGAACACACTTATGTTCAGCTAATGGCTAGAGAAAAGGAATGATATAAAACTTAGCCCATTTATATGATGTAGAATTTTTAGAATATTTTTGTGTGCTACATTGAAACATGTTGACATATAGGATGGTTCTGTTGTTCGTTTCTACTAAGTCATAAGAATTTAAAAGCTTCTAAGGATATAATAATTTTATTCTTTTATTAGATAATAGTCGAAAAAGTCCAAAATCGTACCTTGAAATCCTTGCAGAAGTGAGAGATTATAAAAGAAGACGCCAGTCCTATAGAGCTAAGAATGTTCACATAACCAAGAAATCGTATACTGAGGTAAGTTTTACATAATCTTGTAGAGCTTTGTTGAGAACAGAAATTTCCCTTAGGTAGTTTTCCAAGTCTGTTTGTGGATTTCTACAGTTCCTTAGAGGTGCTTAGAAAGAAAGTGTGTTCGAGATGGCTACCTGATTCGTGTTTGCTCTGTCATTTTCACAACCGTCCTGTACTAGACAGAGACTTTTCAGGGTACACAAACCTTGTATAAAGAGGTTGTATAATCTTAAAAAAAAAATACGTACTTTTGAGAAAGTGATATTACATTGTGGTAACTGCATGGACAGACAGCTTTAGACAGACCTGGGCTTGAGTTTTGATTCTGGTGTTTATCACTGACCCTTTGACTTAGACAAGTTTTCTGAGCTTTTTAAGATTCAGTTTTTTCATTTTATGATACTTTTGCATTTTATAAGGCTTTACAGGGTTGTTAGGAGAATTGATTGGGATAATGCATGTGGACACAGAAACTGCTAAATAAATAGCTATCTTTTTGTTTTTATTTTTGTTTTGCTGAGGAAGGTTAGCCCTGAGCTAACATCTGAGTCAGCATGGCTGACAAGTGCTGTAGGCCTGCACCCTGGAGCTGAACCCTTGAACCCAGGCCGCCGAAGCAGAGCGCACTGAACTTAACCCTACACCATGGGGCCGGCCCTAATAGCTTTCTTATTTTTTTGCAGAAATTTTAGTGTCCTTTCATGCATTCTACTAAATATGTGGGCTTAAGAAATATCTTGGTATAAATTATTTATAATTTATATTATAAATTATAGTTATAAATTATGTATATTATAAAATTATATAATTAATTACATTAATCTCTTGATGTATATCTGGATTTATTTTCAGATGTCATTTAGTGGATAGAGTTGATGAATTTTTTGGTACATGAATTACCTTGCCCAGACTGTAAATAATTTCTTCATTGAATCTCTAATTGTTCCCACATTATTTCTTACTTTTCTCTATGATTTCAAAGACCGTCCGTAATCTGGCCTCATTTTATCAAGCATTTTCTTTCACTTTAGTCAAGCGTGTCTCTCAAACTATATCTGATTACACAGATTTATTCTTACCTCCAAGTCCTAATATATGTTATTTTCTCATCTGAAATGCTCTTTGTTTTGCTGTTTTAAATCTTGATGCCACTGTTTCCATGAGCTGCTCATTGACTCTGAGCCATCTGCTGAATTATTGCTCTTACGCTCTGTCTCACACAGTTTAGCCCTTAATTTTATGCCGTTCCTTTTACAGCTAAAATATGTGTTTCAGATTTCTTCCAGCCTCTCCCTGTAGCGGGCCGGGGCCGTGCAGGCTTTAGTGATGCGTGGTCCCTCAGATACTTGATGGGGCATCATTTGTTTCTTCTCCGATCTCATAACCTTGTAATCAAGATTAAGTGTTGCTGCTAGTGTTCTTTACAATTTTGTGGTTAGCTTTTTGTTATGGAAATATTCGAACATATGCTGAAGTGAATGGAATAGTCTGATGACCCCTTAGGTACCTATTACCCAGCTTCAACAATTACCATCATATGACCTTGTTTTATTTATACCCCCGCTTACTACCCCTACCCCGACACCTGGTAATCTCGGAAACAGATCCCAAATATCTTTCATCTGTAAATACTTCAGTCTTTACAAGTCTTTTAGTGCTTTAGCATATCTCTGGTCATGGCTTTTTCAGCATTTTATGCATTCCTCTCTTCATTTATATCCTGTATCATTTTTGTTTGCTCTGGATTAGAACCTGACAAACTTCAGCAGAAATGTATTACGTACTGTAGTTGCTTTGCCTGACACACTGCTGTGGGATATGAAGATAAGTGCACATAGACCCTCCCCTCAAGGAGCTACTTCTAGCTTAAGAAATGAAACAGACTTTCAAAATACAGATTTTGTTAAGTACTAACATAAGGTGAGATCAAAGTATGTGGGAGGAGGGAGCAGTTCTTTTTAAAAGGTTGCACTGGTATAGGCTTCACAGACAAGATAGTGTTTGAGAGAAAAGGAGAAGCAGGGAGGGGTAAGGGAGTGGCTGTTTATTGGCTCTTTTCTATGTGGTGAACCTGTGCTAGGTCGGCTCTGGACGTGTCCAGTCACGTTCGGGCTTCACGGAGCTCATGTAGAGCTTCTGGTCAGGGAGTCAGGTAGGGCTGCTCTGGCACTGCTGGAGCTGGAGTTGGAATTCAGGTGGGTGTGACTCATGTCACTCCCCCGGGTTAGACCTTGATGTGTCGTAGATTTTCCACAAGAGAATACAGTGGAGGAGGGGAAATGGTGGATGAGGATTTTTCACGTGGAAGGGGTGGTATTCCTAAAAATAAGTAAAAGTATGGGAGTTTTCCAGAGACTCGTTAGTAATCCAGGGTGGCCAGAACTTAGGGCTTCTGAAGAACTATCCAGTGAGAGATGCGATGTCATAAAATTGTGGGTGGCTTCGAAGACTCTCCTAAGGAATTTGAACATAGTTCCATTTTGCTTTGGGGGCCATTGAGAGTTTCTTGGAGATGGGGGAGACACAGGCCTGAACTCAGTGTGCGTCTCTGAGGTTGCCGCATTCCCCGGTGCCTTCGTAAAGCATCTCCTGGTTAGGCCTGAGGGAAGGGTGAACTTCTTTAGTGTCAGCTGTCCCTCGCCAGTCACTAGCCCTGTGCCTGATGATGTGGATAAAGAAAAACACTTCTAAGTGGTTCTTGGGTGAGGAACTTATAGTCTCATTGGGAAAGTATCTGTGGAGTGACTCTTAAGTTTCATATTTTGTCTATCATCTTGATTTAATTATAAGCTTTGGAAAAAAAGGTTTTATTTGTAAATAATCTCAAACATATCAGTAAGTTGCAAAACTAAAAATAATACAAACAACTGCTGAATATCCTTTGCCCAGACCACCTCTTAACATTTTGCCCCATTTGCTTGCCATTTGCACTCTCTCTCTCTACAGTTTTTGCTCTCTGCTTACTACCTGCACATAATTTTTTTTCCTGAACTATTTAAGGGTAAGTTACATCATGATCCTTTATCCCTGAATACTTAGTATATCTTTCCTAAGAATAGGGATATTTTCTTACTTAATCATGGTATAGTTATCAACTTGAGCAAATGTAACATTGATAACAGTACTTTATACCATTCATATTCCAACTTGATCATTGCCTTTTTATGGTCTGTAAACTACACACATCCCGCAGTCCATCATATCATAGCTCTTAGTAAATATTTGATTGGTTGTTAGCAGTGATTTTTTTTCTAGCTTTATAGTTGTAAGTTTTTGAGCTGCTTTCTTATCTGAAATTTGGTGCTTACTTCTAAGGTGATTCGGGATGTGATAAATGTGCACATGGAAGAACTCAGTAGTCAATGGCAAGAAGAGCAGGAAAAAGCAGAGGATGCTGCTGAAAAGTATGTTATTGTGTTTATTGGGGAAAATATTCTGTTTTTAATCTGTTACCCATAATGGTTTAAATTTTAGCATTTCTGAGACGATTAGTAGCACAGTATAATTCATGAGAATGTTTATTATTTCCTGTTGTTATTGCTCAGGATTGTTATACCAGAGTTGCAAAACATATTCCAAGAGCTGTGTTTCTTATATGGAATGTAAGATTGTACACATTTATTTAGACTCTATCAATCATTGGTCTGATACAGAATATTGGGCTTTAGGCTGGTCTAAACTGGAGACCAGTGGTTAAAACTAAGTGGCTAATGCTCTCTTCTATGTTTCAGGAACGAAGAGAGGCGGTCAGCGTCAGTAGACTCACGGCAGTCTGGTGGAAGCTATTTGGATGCTGAGAGTTCACGACATAGAAGGGATCGAAGCAGGAGCCCACATAAACGGAAAAGAAATAAAGATAAGGACAAAAACTGGGACTCAAGAAGAAGGAAAGAGAGGTAAGTCTAACTCTGCAACATCCAATGTTGAATTGTTTGCTTTTGAAAAGTAAACAGTGCCTTGAACAGATTCTGCTATTTCACTTCAAATAACCACAGCTCTGGTGACGTAGTTCTCTATATGCCTGGTTGGATATGGGTTTCCCTTTTTTAATTGTTTTCTAACCAGGACATATGAAAGTAATGTCTAGGTAGTAAGTTAACTATGTTAAACAAGATGTTTGCCTAGATCTCTTTCTTCTGCTCCTTCCTTCCTCCCTCTTTCTTGTTCTTTCTCATTCTTTCTTTCTCTTGCTAATTCCTCAGTTAAAGGGAGTATAGGGCCAGAGAGAAGATCCAAATTTTAATGTCAGTCAGTTTTGCCCTTGTTAAATATCCCTGATAAAATTTTGATAGCTGGAGACATATGAACTAACACTAAAATAATGAATTTGAATCAATTGAGATCTCTTCCTGTATTTCACCTGCTTAACTGGGCATCTACCTGGATCTCAAGTTTATCAGGTCCATAGTGGGACTTAGCTTTTTCTCAGTCTGCTCCTCTCTCCCCAGCATTTCCCATCCTAGTTAATGGATGACCATCATTTGTTCACAGAGCCGGAAATCAAAGAGTCATGTTAGATATGCCTTTTTGATTCCTTACCATCTAGTCTTAATTGCTGTCGGTTGTACCTGAAGATACCGCATGTGCACCTCCTCCTCGCTCTCTTTAGTGCTGTCCCTCTGGAAGAAGATGGTATTTTTCCTAATTGTTCTACCTGTCTCTAAGCTGGTCCCATAGGGATCCTTCCTACGCTACAGCCAGAGTGAATTTTCACCTCTTAAATCTCTTCAGTGGCAAAATTCACATTCTTTAGACCTTAAGACCTCCAGGATCAGGGCATCTGCCTACCTGGCCTTGTGTTTTGCCACTGCCCCATGAAATGCATAATTTATGTTCCAGCCAGCCTGGATTACTTACAGTTCCTCATCCACACTGTGCCATGTCTCTGTCTTTCCATGTCATGTTCTGCTGCCTAATTTCTTTTTAAAGCCTGCTTGGTAAACTCGTCGTTCATTAAGACCCAGCTTAGTCATTTCCGTGAAGCCTTTTCTCACTCATTCAAACAGAGCTGATTCTTTCCATTTTTGTTACCGCTCTACCTAGTGCATACTTTTTATTGAACTTAAGTTACTGCTTTCCCTCCTGGACTGTGAGCTCCGTGAAGGCAGGTATCATGTGCACACTGTTTGTCTAATAATAGGCTCTCAGGTGACATCTGTCCAGGGCCACTGGTGATCAGGAATTAGTAATACTTATTGGTTTAGTAATTTGGCTCATCTTACTATCATTCATTTACAGGTTTAAAGCTAGCTATGAGTTAGTCCTTCTCGTGTAAAAATGAAATATTTGCTTAATAATCCCTTTTGATTCATATAATGAATGATATTTTGTAACAATTATACACAAATTGATTATCAGAAATTGTGTTCTTTCGCTTCTTTCTGGTTTGTTAGTGCTTCTTCCATTTAGTAACTTTGGGGATCTCTCATTAGTCCCTGTTGACTTGAATACATTAGACAGCCTCAAAATCTAAACATGAAATAATTTTCCTTTAGAGAAGATAAACTGAGTATTAGGAGGAAATACTTCTGAATAGGGCAAGGCTAACCTTTGATATCACCCCTGAGTTGGAATGAATTGTAGGGAGTTGAGGTAGGAGCCAGGATAAGGGAATTAGACAATTTCTGAATCCTTCTATGACTTTAATATTTTATTTGAAATGAATTCTCTGGTCATCAGTCATGTACGTATATTCAGAGTTAATTTTAAAGCAGAACTTCCAAGTGCAATTTTTAAAAATTCCATTTTGCTTATCCCCATTTCAATTTTGCTTCTTAGTTTTAATATGTTTTTCATATTTACTGTTAAAGAAATCACTGTTCATTTCTAAATGCCTGTTTTAACTTGTCCTGGTTTGTATCTGATGTAAGTCTGTTACTGGTAAATTATTATTTTAAAGTCTGATCTTAAAATGTCCACCAGTTATAATAGTTTTTTTTCACTCCTTTCATTTCAGGGATGGGGAAAGACATCATAGTCATAAAAGAAGAAAGCAAAAAATATGAATCAAGTGTTTGTGCATGTATTAAGTGTGCTTATGCCATGATAACCAACATGCTGATATTACAGTTAAAATTGCTTTGAGTAGGAGGATGTGTTTGTGTGATCTGCTTAGTGCTCAGATCATTATTTTTCAGTAAATACTTATGTCTCAAACTGTGAATACACTATGATGCCCTATAACTTTGTTTTCCTTATATTTTAATAGATGATTGATTCCTATTTCTGATTTTGTTTCATTCTTTGTGATAATTTGTGTATCAGAAAATTCTTTAATTAAAACCAATACTTAAACTATATAAATAATACATGAATATGTTCTCATTGTAAAAAATGAAACCTTGCAGATAAGGCTAAAGTCCCCTTGGAACACCAGCTGCCATCCCTGTGCTACCCCAGTAGTAACTCCTATTTACTGCTGCACTGGGGAATTGTAACAGGGGAGAACGACCTAAACGTCTGTCAGAAAGGGAATGGCTTGGGGCCGGCCCTGTGGCGTAGTGGTTGAATTCGGCACACTCTGCCTTGGTGGCCCGGGTTCACAGGTTCAAATTCCAGGCACAGACCTCTGCCACTTGTCAACCATGCTGTGGCGGTGACCCACATATAAGTGGAGGAAGATTGGCACAGATGTTAGCTCAGGGCTAGTCTTTCTCAGCAAGGGAGGCGGGGAAGAAAGGGAATGGCCTGGCTAAATAAATAAAATATGGTATAGTCATATGATAGATTACTATATTGGATTTAAAAGAAACTTTATATTAACATGGATAGGTCTCAGAAACATCATGCTAAGTGAAAATAGTAAGTTATGGGAAGATATGTCCCAGTTATATTTATGTACAAAACCATACATTTTCTCTGGCTGTGTATGTATTTGGATATATTTGTAAAGGTTCGGAAGAACCCATACCAAACTTGTAACAGTGGTTATTTGGGGGAGGAGATATAGATGGGAGAGAGAAGGGGTGAAAACCAGGATTGGGAGAGGAAAAGGAAACTTTAGCTTTATCCATAATACATTAATTTTTTAAAATAAGGTATTCATGTTTCACTTGTCAATTAAAATATACTGTTTTTTGTAAATCAACTTTGTTGAGGAACTGTTTACATGAAATAAAGTACACCCATTTTAAGTGTGTATTTCATTGACTTTTGGCAAACTTTTACCTTCTCCCGTGTAACCATCACCTCAGTCAAGATAGAGAATATTTCCGTTGCCCCCACAAGTTCCCGTATATCCCCTACCCAGTCAATTTCTCTGCCCCAGCCCTAGGCGATCACAGATCTGCTTTTTGTTACGGTTGATTAGATGAATCTTTTCTAGTTATAAATGAAATACTACAATATATACCTTCTTCCACTCCGCATATTTTTGAGATTGAGCCATGTTGTGTGTGTCAGTGGTCTGTTCGTTTTTGTTCCTAGTAGTATATTCTGTTGTATGATGGATCATTAAGGTGAAACTTTGGCATTAAATGTTAAGCATCTCATTGCTGAATAGCAATATCTTGAATCTTGGAAACCCAGGTTTAAGATTCCAAGGTGGGTTCCAAATAGAACTGAAACCTTAATAGGTAACTGACAATGACAGAAATGACAAAGGTTAACTGGATTTAGATCAGCATAGCTGTTAGGCCTCAGGTCTGGAAAACAGCTTTCAGAGTTATAAGTTGGAAATCAGCAGGTCACTTGCCGGTGTGAAGTCCCATTACTCCCATTGTGCTTAATTTCTACATATGTAAAATTCGGATTTAAAAATCTTAAAGCAAGGACTTTCGTGTTACCATAATATTGAACCATCAAAACCATTTGAATTAGCAATTTTGTATAGTATAACTCAATTTATAATTTTGTTTTTTTATTATGATTTCAGTGATTTTACTAACTAGAAGAAACAAAAGATTAAAATTCAAAGGCATACTTGGGTCTTTAGTAGAAGAGAGAAATAAGTGGAAAGGAGAAGTGAGTTGGTGGGATTGGGGGAAAATAGCATAGTATGGAAAAAGGAGGTGATGGAAGGTGCAACCAGAGTTCTTTTAAGTCCAGCTTTTTAAACTATCTGATAAAATGTAGAATTAGATAAGAGGCATTTGTTTGATCCTTGAATGTGTTCATTTTCCGTGCTTCTGTTTGTGTTTTGGACTCCTTCACTGGATTATGAGCTCCTTGACAGCTGGGTTTGTATCTTCAACAATGTAACTCCCATGCCAGCACAGAATATTTGTTGTTTTAAATTTTGACAAAAACGTTTGCACGCCCCTTGCACCCAACATCTGATTTTTGCTTTTGTAAAGTGCTGATGTTAATAATTGCGATGACGGCTACCCATCTTACCCATCCATTAAGTCCTGGCTTCTTGTCACCTATGTTTCTGATCTACTGGCTGTAAATAATTTTCTCTCCTGAAGAGAGAACTCTCTTAAAAGCACTAAGGATGCTTAACGTTTATTGAGCACTTAGCTATGTGCAGGCTCTGTTCTGAGCCTTTTGTTTTCCATTGTAAACATATATAACATAAAATTTAACCATTTTAGCCATTTTTTAGTTCAGTGGCATTAAGTACATTCACATTGTTGTACAGCCATCACCACTGTTCATCTCAATGTTTTCATCTTCCCAAACTGAAACTCTGTACCCAGTAGACAGCAACTCCCCACTTACCCATTTTCCCAGCCCCTGGTAACCACTGTTCTCTCTGTCTCTGAATTTGACTGTTCTAGGGACCTCATATAAGTGGAATCATAGAATATTTGTGCCTGGCTTATTTCACTTAGCATAGAGTTTTCAAGGTTCATCTATGTTGTGGCATGTGTCAGAATTTCACTCTTTTTAAGGCTGATGATCCCATTGTGTGTATATTCCATATTTTGCTCATCCATTCATCTATTTTTGGATATTTGAGATGTTTCCACCTTATGGTTATTCTGAATAGTGCTGCTGTGAACATGAGTGTGCAAATATCTGAGCCCCTGGTTTCGATTCTTGTGAGAGATACCTGCAAGTGGAATTGCTGGGTCGTGAGATAACTCTAATTTTTTGAGAACCCGCCATACTGTCTTTATAGCGTTTATCCATTTTCATTCCCACCAGCAAGGCAGCAGGGATCCAGCTCCAGTTTCTCCACATCTTTGGCAATGCTTGCTGTTTGCTGGTGATCTTTTGTTTTTTGGTAATAGCCATCCTAATGAGGGTAAAGTAGCGTCTCAGTGGTTTTGATGAGCTCTTTATATTCAACTTATTTAATTCTCATAAGACACTGAAGTGTAAACACTCTTATTATCTCCATTTTAAAAATGAGGAAACTGAGACTCAGTGAGTTAAACAGCTTGCTCCAGTTCTCAAAGAGAGTGGTGGAGCAGGAAGTCCCACCCAGGCAGTTTTGCTCCAGAGTCCAGGGTCCACATTCTTGCCTTCCCCCCACCCCCACTTTATTATAATTACTTACTGCTTCTGTCCTCAACTAGGTTTTTAAATTTTTATGATGATTATCTTTGAATCCTCAGAGTCCTTAGTACAGCTCTTGAATGATGGAGGTGATAAATGTTTGTGGATGAGGGAATTTAGGCATAGAGATGCGTGGTTATTTCCCCAATGTCATGCAAACAGTACAACAGAGACTGAAAGTAGAGGCCCTGCTCTTACCCACTGTATAAACATTGATTAACTGTGGGCCCTTTTTAACGGGTTCACCTCATGGTAGTGTCTGTCATTTTGTAGCAGCCTCTTCATATCCGCCAGAGTGCTCTGAACTCCTTTATAAAATCCAAAAAAGGGAACATTTTACCACCTGCCATTTTGTTCAACTGATCCACAAATGAACTTGCATTGTGTCTTGATACAATTTAGTTATGCACCAAAGTTCATTGCATTGATCAACTTTACATAGCAAGATTCCACAGGAAGATATAAAAATCCATTGCAGAGCATCTGCTAAAATAAAGACTGCTTGAAAATTAAATACCAGGTTCTTGGAGGAATCTGAACAGAAGGAAGTTGGAATCAGCTGAGGAGAAACTCAGACCTGCTTTATTCTCCAGTCCACTGCATCCCGTTCTCCGCTCATCTGGAGGAAGAGGATGTGGCTGTGGTTTCCGTCTGCCATAGGAAACAGTGCTCCCTGAAGTTTACAAAAGGAGGCATTTGTGAGCAAAAAGAAATCAAGGAAGCTTCTCAAATATTTAGCCTGACCTTAGTCACTTTAATTTACATGTTGTCAAGGTGGCTGCTGTGCAGAGCCCAAGGCACTGATTACATTCAGTAAGAAACTGAACTTATCACTCAGAATTTTGACTTAGATCAATGATCTCCAAGTATTTGCCACTTTTAAGTAAGGCTGATTGGATAATCTGAAACCTTTTGGTGAAAATTAGTTGTCAAATGGCAAATTTGAGGTAAAATATTTTAAATTGGCATTGAAAACTATTTTATAATCATCTATGTATTCTATCATACAGAAATATTATTTTAATACTATAACAATGTACCCCCGTCTTCTGAGGATGCTTTCTTTTTTTTTTTTAAAGATTTTTTATTTTTTTCCTTTTTCTCCCCAAAGCCCCCCAATACATAGTTGTATATTCTTCGTTGTGGGTCCTTCTAGTTGTGGCATGTGGGACGTTGCCTTAGCGTGGTTTGATGAGCAGTGCCATGTCCGCGCCCAGGATTCGAACCAACGAAACACTGGGCCGCCTGCAGCGGAGCACGCAAACTTAACCACTTGGCCACGGGGCCAGCCCCTGAGGATGCTTTCCTTTTATGTTTAGTGAATTCATAAAGGTCCCGGGGTTCTGGTGTAAAGCTTTGTTGCATTCCGAGTATGAAAAAATAAATCCATTTATAGTTGTTTGAGTATGTTTGTGAGGCTAATTTCCTTTCATGTAGCTTGCTTTTGAGTTGATGGAATTGAGCTGATAGGTGTTGTAATTATTAAACTAAAGCTCTTAAGCCACACTTGTTTTTTCCATTAGTTATTGTACTTCCTACTCTGGTCACAAATTTGAAAGTTTGGTGTTATGGAAAGTCCTCACGGCTTTTGGATGTTTGGATTGGGACCAGTAATTTCTAGCGCTCCTTTTCAGGAAAGAAAAAATAAGATTTGTCAGACTGGAGTTGTTGCAAGCCAGATGCATCCTTACTGAGCAAGCTGAGCCACTTTCCCATTCTAAAAACAAGGCTTCCTAAGAGAAAGGATGCTGCCTTGAAATAGAATATAAACTAAGCTTATTTTTGGTCCTTTGGTTTAGTAATACAAGGCAGGAGGCACTTCCAGTTTGAAGAGTTGCTACACACACCATCTGAACAGTGTTAGATTAAGAAAGGCTGTGGGTGCTGGCAAGTCCTGCCTTAGGAGCATCACACCTTTTGGCATCAGTTCGAGGATATGGGGTTGGGTTGCTTGAGTACTATGTTTATGAGGCTAACTTCCCATAATCGTGGAGCTCTCTAACCCATGTTGCTCCAGCTCCAAGCCATGATTCCTCTTCTAGAATGAGAAAGGCAATTAAAGGAGCTTCAAGAACACGGAGAGATGAAGCATGAGCTTGGGCTTTATTTGGTATTACACAATTTAATACAAATGAAATACTTTTAAATAATAAATTCTTCACCTACTGAAAGGAGTGGCCTTGATCAAAGGAGGCAGGATGAGTCAGATAATACAGGTCTGCCTCTTCTTCACAATGTGACCCTGGGCAAATTCTTAATCTTTCCATGCCTCCTATTCCTCATCTGTGGATTGAAAATAACAATACACCCTCAAAGGGTAGCGGTGAGGTTTAGAGAGAATGAATGTGACTTGCCTCACATAGTGTCTGATGAATGGAAAGTCCGAAATACTTGCCATTATTATGAGGTGTAACACACTTGTAAGCTTTTCCTTTCTGTTCTGCTTCCTATATCTGGCTTTGCTTATGGACCAACCTAGATAGCTCTCTCATGCCCTCAGAGAATTCTTTCATACTATAGTATTAGCAAACATGCCATGCATTATTGAAGACTCCATAAGGAAGAGTATAGGGGGTGCATCACATTACCAGTGTAGAAATACTGAAATACTCCTGAACTCATTGGTAAATAAGTGCTGTCCCAAGCCCTACCTCCCTTCTTCCCATCTGCCCTGGAAATCACCCCCTCCTAGGC